CCTTCCTGACCCATCTGGAACTGGAAAATATTTGAGTATTCTTATTTTGTGGCAGAAGGGTTATTTGCATAAGTTAAATAATATCTGTTGCTTTGAATCAGAAATTGGAAATACACGTTATTGGACAGGGTTTTGACTGGAATGTCATATCTGAAGATTAATCCAGAAAACTATGGAACTAAAGTAGATCTCAAGTAAGCCAACAGAAGCTCTTGGGAAGATGGCCTGGCACCATAAACAGTTCTGCCTAGTTGAGAGGGTTAGAGAAGCTATGTGAAAGAATTTGTACCATAAAATAACCTGGACTTCTCCAGTCCAGCATTGTAATCAGTAGAGATTGCAAAAGAGCAACCACAAGAGGGTTATCTTGAAGAAGACTTTGAAGAAAAAGAAACTGATCTTTGCTAGTAGATAGCATATCATAGAGTACTTTGTAGGCAGAGTTGAATCGAGAAGGTTGTGTGCTGGGTGTTTGCTTTTCAACAGTTTGAGTAGTTGACATGTAAATATTTTCTCAAAAATATTTAAAACCAGGACCAACAGTTGGCATAATGGCTATGTCACTGAACTCCCATGTAGTCAACCACAGTTCGAATCCCAAACCAGGTGGCTTAAACTCACGCTCGATGCGTGTGCGTGCGTGCCCAAGATCCCGAGAGGAGAATGGAGGAAAAGGGATTGTGGTGTAGCCATCCCCTCTGGGGGTGGGGGGTGATTTCTCGCTTTCTATCTCTCTGTCTCTCTCTGTCTGTCTGGCGAGCGCACGTGCCCTATAGCAAAAACCTCTCCAAAAAAAGAAAAAAAAATTAAAAAAAACATTGTCAATGTAAATTAGGTTATATTATTAAAGATGTAATTAAGCTATATATACCAGACACACATATAATTGGTGTGGTGGTTAAAGATGCTGGACTCCCACATAACCAACCACGGTTCGACTTCCAGACCTGGTGGCTTGCTTTCTCACTTTCCCTTTCTTTCTTTCTCTGTCTCTCTCTGATCAAACTAGAAAATAATAATAATAAAGTTAAATAAAATAGTTCTTTTTTTTTTTTTCACTTCCAGAGTCTTTTTTATTGGCCACTTAGAGCTACAACATTAGCCGTTTCCACCAGAAGTTCTACTTTTCCTTGTGCTTTTCTTCCTGTGTCTCTCAGCTCTGCAGAGCCTGTTCCCAGGAACACAGGCCTACAAGACAAACGAGAGGCGAGCAGGTACGCCAGATCCCTTAGACAGTGCAGCTGCAGGTCGTGAGGAAGGGGTCAGCTCTGTGGGGTCCGGCCACCTTACCCTGAGCCACCTCCTTCTTCAGGGAAGGTGGTGTCAGAAACCAGTCCCAGGTGCAGCCAGGCTACACCACCAGAGGCCAGCTTCAGTGTTTCTTTCCCTCCTCTTGTGCCCACTAAGACCAGGTTCAGATCTGAGGGGAAAGGGAACCGGAGGATGAATAAAATAATTCTTTAAAAACATTCAGTCTTTCTAAAATTTTGAAGGTTGTTTATTATTTGAAATTTTGGAACTTTTTTATTAACTGTCAAGAACTATGGAGTATGAAGAAAAAAATGTTTATATGTAAAGTGTGTCATAATGTAAAATTGAATAAATACATGATTTTTTTTTAAATTAAAAAGTATGGGACCAGCATATGGTGTAATGGCTACGTCGCTGGACTGCCATGTAGTAGACTATGGTTCAAGTCCCGGACCCGGTGGCTTAAACTCATGCCAGGCCCATGTGCGTGTGTGCCCAAGATCCTGCGAGGAGAATGGAGGAGAAGGGATTGCAGCGTGGCCGGCCCCCCCTGGGTTGTGATTTCTCACTTTCTATCTCTCTGTCTCTCTCTGTCTTTCTGGTGAGCGCATGCACCCTATAGCAAAAACCTCTCCAAAAAGTAAATAAATAAATAAATAAAATTTAAAAATTAAAAAATAAAATAAGAAAGGGAAGAATGAAGAAAACTAAATGTTCACTGAAACACACATGGCACAGTTAAATGTAGAGACTTGATTTTTTTTGAGAGAGATTTTTTTTGCTATAGCATGTGTGCACTTGCCAGAAAGACACAGAGAGACAGAGAGACAGAAAGCAAGAAATCACCCCCCCCCAGGGGGGATGGCCACGCCGCAATCCCTTCTCCCCCATTCTCCTCTTGGGATCTTCAGGATGCACATGCACGCACCCAGCGTGAGTTTAAGTCACTGGGTCTGGGACTCGAACTGTGGTCAACTACCTGGGAGTCGAGCAACATAGCCATTACACCATCTGCTGGTCCTGAGATTTGATATAAAATACCTTGAGTTTAAATCCTAAAAAAAATTAAAAGGGGACAACCCCATACAGCTTCATTTCACTGAGAAGAGAATCCATTATTCCAGAAGATCTCTCCAATCTATTACTGCCTTTATTGTTTAAGAATTATTTATTGAGGGGACCAGCAGTTGGCGTAATGGCTATGTTGCTGGACTCCCATTTAGTTGACTTTGGTTCAAGTCCCGGACCCAGTGGCTTAAACTCATGCTGGGCATGTGTGCGTTTGTGGCCAAGATCTCAAGAGGAGAATGGAGGAGAAGGGATTGTGGCATGGCCATACCCCCTGGAGGATGATTTCTCGCTTTCTGCCTCTCTGGCGAGTGCATGCACCCTATAGCACAAACCTCTAAAAAAAAATTCTTTATTGGGGACCAGCAGATGGTGTAATGGTTATGTTGCTGGACTCCCCTGTAGTTGTTTGTGGTACAAGTCCTGATCTGGCCACTAAAACTCATGGTGGGCACGTGTGCGTGCGTGCCCAAAATCCCAAGAGGAGACTGGAAGAGAAGAGATTGTGGTGTGGCCATCCCCCCTGGGGGAGAGTGATTTGTTGTTTTTGTCTCTCTGTATCGCCAGTGAGTGCATGTGCCCTATAGCAAATATCTCTCTCAAACAAAAAAGAATTATCAATTTTATTTGTCATCATCATTATTATTATTAGAGAGATTTTTGCTATAGGGTGTGTGCACTTGCTGGAGAGATCAAGAGACAGAAAGAGAGAAATCACCAGGGCACGGCCATGCTCCAATTTCTTCTCCTTCACTCTCCTCTTGGGATCTTGGGAATGCATGCACACATGCCCAATGTGAGTTTCAAGCCACCAGGTCCAGGACTCAAACTGCAGTTGACCATGTGGGAGTCTAATGATATAGCCATTATGCCATCCACTGGTGCAATCATTACTATTATTTTTTAATTTGCTAAAGGGCACACATCCTCACCAGAGAGAGACAGAGTGGCAGGGGTGTGGGGTGTTGGTGAGAAAGCAAGCTGCTGGATCCAGGATTTGAATCACAGTGGCTATGTGGGAGTCCAGTGCCCTAACCACCATACCTCCTGCTGGCCTCTCTATTACTGCTTTAACTAGACAGAAAGCACTTTTCATTTTAATTATTTTAGTTTAGTTTAATTTTAGTTTTTGCTATAGGGCACATGTATCGGACAGAGATAGAGAAAGCAAGAAGTCATCCCCTCACAGAGGATGACCATGCCACCATCCCTTCGTCTCCTCTGGAGGCTTGGGATTTTGGCACACACACATGTAGGCCCAGCATGATTTTCAGGTCACCTGAATCTTCATGCTGCTGGCCCAGCACTTTCCATTTTTAAAACTCCCTGGGTTTTTTGTTTGTTTGTTTTTGAAGATTTTTACCGTGCACTTCCTGGAGAGAGATGGAGAGAAACAATGAGAGGGAAAGTGAAAAATCACCCCCTGTGGGGGATGGCCGGGCCGCAGTCCCTTTTCCTCCATTCTCTTTTTGGGGTTTGGGACACATGTACACATATTCGTGGTGTGATTTTCAAGCCACCAGGTCTAAGACTTGAACTGTTCTGTGGCCAGAACCTTAACCACCACATCCCCTACTAGCACCCCAGGTATTTTTAATTGCAAAATTAATACATGAATATATGCTAATTGTAAAAACATTAGACTAATCTAGCAGTATATAGAGCAAAAGCGAAGGTAGCGCTCTGACCGCCTTCCATCCTCTCATCTCACTAGAAGTCTGTGGATCCATGCACCCACACAACACAAGTAGGTCACATCTTCTTTTGCAACTTGCTTTTACTTTTAACAATGTATCGACTTCATTTTTAACAGCTGTATAGCATCTCAACATGATTTATTTAATCCATCCCTTATCAATAGAAATTTGGGTGGTTTCCAATATGTTGTACTATTACTAACAATGCATTAATTAAAGTTCTTATTATAAGTTATCTTGTCACATATATAAAATTTCTCTAGTCTTGAGCCCAAAAGATTGAACTGAGAGTGCAAAAGCTATGCATACTTAACACTTTCTGTTTTTTTGTTTTTTTTTTTGTTTTTAATTTGCCAGAGAGCGCATGCGCTCACCAGCGAGAAAGACAGGGAGAAGGAGAGGGAGAAAGCACCAAGCACCCCCATACCGCAAGAGGGTATGGTCACACCACAAGCCCTTCTCCTCCATTCCTCCGTCCTGTCAGGATTGGTGGCGCACACATGTGCACTCACCATGTTTTTAAGTTGCTGGAGCTGGCATTTAAACCATGCAATCAGTCATGTGGGATCCGGCTGCTTTAACCACCAGTCCATGAAGCAGGTCTGCATATTCGAACATTTTAATAGTGTCAAGTGCCCTTCCAAAGAGACTGTGTTAGTTTATATTTTCACAACAACACTGAGTGCCGTTTCCCCATATCTTTATCAATACGAGGTACTGTTTTTGAAATTTGGAAGGCACCCTCTTAGATGGTCTCTTTTGCAGACAATGCTCTGGGACTCACTTGGTACTCATTTTTCTTTCTTTTTTTAAAACAATTATTTATTTCACTTTGTTTATTCGTTCATTTTATTTTAATTTGATCAGAGAGAGAGAGGGAAAGTGAGAAAGCAAGTCACCAGATCTGGGACTCAAACCATGGTCGACAATATGGGGGTGTGTAGCGTCTTAACCACCATGCCACCTGCTGGCCCCGGTACTCACTTTTCTAGGAGTTTGTCATAATTGTCAGTCAGCAATTTTCGTTCTTTTTCCAAATCTTCAACTCGCTCCTGAAACTAAGAATGACAGTAGGGTCCTTGGGATAAAAGTTTAAAATCTCTTGCCTTGCACGGGTTTTTTCTTTTCTATTGAAGGGTGAGGCTTGGATCAGATCCTGTTTATGAGGGGTCACTCAACTACAAAGACATGAACCAACCGAAGGTGGGCTAGAAACATCTACAGGAAATAGCAAGGATTCCTCCTCATGGTATCTGGCTTTTCACTGTTAGGAAAGCAGCAGAACATTACGAAAAGACTTTGGAAAACAGAAATATAAATCACAGCTTTTCCCCTAATGGTGTCATCTTAAGCAAATGATTTAACCACACGGAGCTTCATTTCTCTCACCTGAAACAATGAAATACTCATGCTGTTACTAAGAGACACACTTCCATCTTTGACATGGGAATGGAGCACAATGGATGGTATCTTTCAACTACTGTTAGGGATCGTCTGGAAAGCCATGACATATTCTTTTTTCTGTTTTTCTACGCAAACATGCCATGACTTTTCCAATGACCCAATACTTACCTCCTTCAGAGTTATGTGCAAGATAGACACATCTTCCAGTTGACTTTTCAGGCTCATAGCCTTCTTACTCTCCTCCTTCAGCTCCGCCCTGAGCTCATTCACTTGCTTGAGGAGCGCATCATGGGCTGCACTCAGGATTCCCTGGTTCTAAGGCAAAAGGGAAGTTGTCTCAGGAATAGTCATAGCACCGGGCAGGAGTGTTCCTGAGAGAGCAGCAACCCTAGCATTCCCTAGTGGCTGTCACGAAGGAGAACTTAGCTTATAGCATGCTGCCTCTGCACTGGAGGTGGACCTAGTTCTACACCCCAGCATCATCCTGCAAGTACAGACTCCCCGTTAGGAGGGTCTTTCATTTTGGGCAACTGCAAGTCATCACGGGAGCCTTAATGTTCCTGAGGTTCGAGTGAGTCTCTGGAGCCTTGTTAGGGGCTACCTTCCAAACTGCCTTATCTGTCCACGCTGTTCGATTGCTTTTTATGCTGCCATCGTCCTCTGCACCTAGCAAAGTGACCAGTTAGCTCTAGCAGTGTGCATTTTTCTGGTGAAGTCCTCTGATGAGGGATGGCCATGGTGGGGCGGGTTTGGAACGGCCTCAGTGGCTCTTACTCACGGACGTTCACTCAGCTGCAACAACTTTGTTCTATTTCACCACCTCACACACGTTAGATAAATACTTTTAGGAAGTCTTGAGCAAATGCTATAACATGTCCCATAAAATAGCCCAATAAATATCATTCCAAATATTTCTCAACCCCGATCTCGCATGTTCTCATAAACATAGAACCTTCTGATAAAAGTAAAGGTATCATTTGTCTTAATAGAGACTATATGACAAAATAACTTTGATTCAATTGGTCACATTCTAGTGTCATATTACTTGGAGATGAAAATGGTTTTTTGTTTGTTTGTTTGATAACTCTAATTACTAAGAAACAGAGATTCAAAGAAACTTTATTTGGTACCTTCTGGAGCAATGTTTCATATGCCTGAAAAAGAGAAATAGGTATTATTTTACTGATTTATCAATTTTGCATATTTGATGTTTATTGCTGTAATAAAAATATTTAGTATTTATTTTAAAAGACATTGTAGGGAACTAGCAGTTAGCGTAATGGCTGGACTCCCATGTAGTCAACCACGGTTCACGTGCCAGACCAGTGGTTTAAACTCACGCCAGGCGTGTGTGCGTGCGTGCCCAAGATCCCGAGAGGAGAATGGAGGAGAAGGGATTGCGGTGTGACCATCCCCCCTGGGGGGTGATTTCTCGCTTTCTGTCTCTCTGTCTGTCTGGCGAGTGCACGCGCCCTATAGCAAAAACCCCTCCCAAAAAAAGACATTATAAAAATCCCAGAAGTCAGGTCAATTTGGGTACCTTTTTATAAATTGGTGCTATTTTTCCCACCTAAGCTTGTCAGGTAGTCGGTGAATGCAATCATATAATTTCTTTCTCTTTTTTCAGGTTTTTGCCATAGGTGCAGGGGCTAATTTGCAAGAGATGACAGAGAAAGAGTGAGAGGGAAAATAAGAAATCACATCCCAGGGGGATGGCCAGACCGCAATCCCTTTTCCTCCATTCTTCTCTCAGGATTTTGGGCATGCATGCACACACCCAGTCATGATTTTTCAAGCTACAGGGTCTAGGACTTGAACCACAGTGGGCCTTGTGGGAATCCAGTACCTTAACCACTATGCCTGTTGGCCCATTGCTTTAAGAAGAATAGAGTCACTTACTCACATTTGCATAGTACTTGGTAGATTATTTGAAAAGATGTTTAATATCCAACTCGGTGCTGTTACTCACTATTCTTCAGAAAGACTTCTTTTCAGTTTTAGAAAGAGAACAAATGGGACCAGCATTTGGCATAATGGTGACATTGCTGGGCTCCCATGTAGTTACCCATGGTTTGAGTCCCAGACCCAAAACTCATGCCAGGCATATGTATGTGCATGCCCAAAATTCTGAGAGGAGAATGGAGGAGAAGGGATTGCAGTGTGGCCACCCCCCCCAAGGGGTGATTTCTTACCCTCTGTCTCTCAGTCTCTCTCTGTCTCTCTGGCAAATGTACCTGCCCTATAGCAAAAATCTGTCCTAAAAAAAAGAGAGAGAACAAACAGTAATCATAACAACAGTTACTCCACTCTAAGTTGAGCAGTTGCTGTGTGTTTTATGTTACTATGTGATTCATTATCTGCCATGTTCTGATCTTTATAACTATTTCATGTATAGATCCCATTTAGTCAATGCAGCAAATATGAAAAGCAAGAATTATTATTATTATTTTAATTTTGCCACAGAGGGCCTGTGCTTACCAGAGAAAGAGAGAAAAAGATAAAGTGAGAAAGTACCATCCCCATGGGGGATGGTCACCCTGCAATCCTTTCTCTTCCATTTCTCTCTCCTTTAGAAAATTTGGGGGGAACCAGCAGTTAGCGTATTGGCTATGTCGCTGGACTCCCATGTAGTCCACCACGGTTCGCGTCCCGGACCCGGTGGCTTAAAACTCACGCCGGGCGCGTGTGCGTGCGTGGATGCCCAAGATCCCGAGAGGAGAATGGAGGAGAAGGGACTGCGGCGTGACTATCCCCCCTGGGGGGTAATTTCTCACTTTCTGTCTCTATGTCTCTCTCTGTCTGTCTTGCTAGCGAACTTGCCCTATAGCGAAAATCTCTCAAAAAAATAAAAATAAAAAAGATGCTCCTTAGACTCTTGAATTCCACCATTGAGATGTCACTTTCTAATGTGTGGTAACGAGAAGAGACTTGGTGCCAGCCTGGACTTCCCCTTCTCTGCTCCTTACTATTTTTACTGCTTGAGCAAGTTACTGAACTTCTTTGAGGCACAGTTCCCTCATTTGCTAAATGCACTCGTTCTGAGAGTTGCCAGGCTGAAAGATCATGACTGTAGGCACCTGCAACAGAGTCCCACACAGGATGTGCTTAGTAAAGAAAGGCTGGTTCTCTCCCCTTCCCCTGTGACTGCTTTCGGATTCCCAATTTAATTACATTTTGACTGTGGTCCTAGGCTGGAACCTATCCTGACAGAAGTCCACTTAATTCCACCTTAGCAGGCAGGGCTCGAGCTTTCTTCCTAATAGAGAAACAATAGAAAAACACTGGGAAAGAATGGACTCCGAGTTGCAAGGCCTGGATTTGAGTACCACCTACACTTTGTGTCATCTTAGACAAGTAACGTGGCCTCCCTGAATTGTGGTCTCCCATATGTAAAATGCAAAGCATGAAGCTAATCTCTTAACTACTTGTGTGTCCTTCCCTCTCCAAGAAAATGATGACTCACCTCTTGAACCTCTGCTAATTGTGCTTTTGTCACCACCAAGGAGGCATTCCTTTCATGAAGAAGCTTCTTAAGTCGAATGAGCTCTACGTTTTCCTTGATGGAAGCTCTATAGAAAGAAGTGACTCAAAAAAATGGGGGGGGGGGGGTTTAAGCAAACATAGATACCAGAGACGGTGTGGGAGGAGAGTGGGAGATGGCAGAGGGTAAGAGATAGGGAATCAAGGATGGGGGAAAAAAAAAACATACAGGAAACAAGAAATGGAAAATTATTTGTTGATGATAACATGTATGTTGATGTGCTTGATTGAGCCAATATATAGTGTACTCTGGATGGAAAACCTCATTTTGTATGTTGTAATGATGTACAGTGAAGGAATGTAAATAAATAAATTTTTTTAAAAAGGAGCTAAAATTTTCTGTTCGAGAATGGCCAGAGCTAAGTACCCCTTCCTCTTGATTGTCACCAGTGAGGACATCTTCTCTCTTCCCTCCTTTCTCCCCCATAGCACGTCAGGAGCAGAGAGTGCACGTACTGCCTGGTAAATCTCTGTTCTCCCACTTCCTCTCATGCCAGCTAAGACTTGGTAGAGAGACCGCTAACCTTAAACTCTGTGTTCTGAGAACACATAATGACTATTTTTTAAAAAAATATGACACACAGGGGACAGCAGTTAGCGTAATGGCTCTGTCACTGGACTCTCATGTAGTCGACTGCGGTTTAAGTCCCGGACCCAGCGGCTTAAACTCACGCCAGGCGTATGTGCGTGCATGCCCAAGATCCCGAGAGGAGAATGGAGGAGAAGGGATTGCAGCGTGGCCATCCCCCCGGGGGGTGATTTCTTGCTTTCTATCTCTTTGTCTCTCTCTGTCTTTCTGGCAAGCACACGAGCCCTATAGTGAAAACCTCTCCCCCCCAAAAAAAGAAAAAAAATATTATGACACACAGTTTCCTATAAACCCTGCAAAGTTCAACTATGTCAAGCTTTCTTTTAAAGAAACCAGGGCAGGGACCAGCAGTTAGTGTAATGGCTATGTTGCTGAACTCCCATGTAGTCGACCTCAGTTCAAGTCCCAGACCTGGTGGTTTAAACTCATGCCGGGCGCGTGTGCATGTGTGCCCAAGATCCTGAGAGGAGAATGGAAGAGAAGGGATTGCGGCGTGACCATCCCCCCTGGGGGGGTGATTTCTCACTTTCTATCTCTTTGTCTCTCTGGCAAGCGCACGCACCCTGCCTCACAAAAAAAAAAAAAAAAAAAAAAAAAAAAGAAGCCAGGGCAATGATATCAACAACAAAAAGCTAAGAGAGCTTTTATGGGGGAAAAAATCTGTCATATTATCAACTTGTTTAAAATATGGATGGGAATACAAAGGAAGATTATTATTTCTAAACCTAGGAGAGCGTATCTTTTGCAAGAGATACTGAGGACTATTTGGGCTCCTACACTCTATCTCAGTAAGTCTCATTCTTAGGTGTTCATCAGAGTTGCCTGGGAAGATCTTTAAACTTACACCGCGTGGACTTCACCCTCAAAATATTGAAGGAGGGAGGCCGGCAGGCGGCATGGTAGTTAAGGACGCTGGACTCCCACATGGCCTGCTGCTGTTTGAGTTCCGAACTTGGCAGCTTGCTATCTCACTTTCTCTCCCTCTCTCTGTCTTATTCTCACTATTATCCCTCTTTATTCAAATAATAAATAAATAAGTTAAATAAAATAATTCTTTAAAATATATATTAAAAGAGGACTCCTGGGGTGGGGCTCAGGCATCTGTGGTTTTAAAAGGTCTCCAGGTTGAAAACTTATGTCCACATAAAACCTGCCCATGATGTTTATAGTAACTATTCATAATTACCAAAACTTGGAAGTAACCACAATATCCTTCAGTAGCTGAATGAATAAACTGTGAATCGTCCAGATAATGAAATGTTACTCAGTGCTAAAAGGAAATAAGCTATCAAACCATGAAAAGATGGAGGAAACTTAAATGCCTGTTACTAAGTAACATAAGCCAATCTAAAAAGACTACATACTGATTCCAGTTGTATGGCATTTTGACAAAAGAAAAATTATGGAGAAGATAAAAATATCAGGGGTCAGAGAAGGGAAGTATGACTAGTTGGAGCACAAAGGCTTTTTTAGGACAGTGAAAATATCCTGTCTGATACTACAATGCAAATAACAAAACCCAAAGAATGGGGACCAGCAGATGGCGTAATGGTTACCTCACTGGAGTCCCACATAATTGACCATGGTTCGAGTTCCAGACTAGGCAGTTTAAACTCATGCTGGGCACGTGTGCGTGTGTGCCCAAGATCCCAAGGGGAGAATGGAAGAGAAGGAATTGTGGTGTGGCCATCCCCCCTAGGGGGTGATTTCTCGCTTTCTGTCTCTCTGTCTCTCTCTGTCTTTCTGGTGAGCTCATGTGCCCTATAGCAAAAACCACTCCAAAAAAAAAAAAAAAAATTCATTTCTTGGGACCAGCAGATTATGTAATGGTTATGCCTCTGAATTTCCACAGAGTCGACTGTGGTTTGAGTCTCGGACCAGTTGGCTTAAAACTCATGTGTGTGTGTGCATACTCAAGATCCAAGGAGGAGAATGGAGGAGAAGGGATTGTGTGTAATCATCCTCCCGGAGGGGAGATTTCTCACTTTCTGTCTCTCTGACAAGCACATGCCCCCTATAGCTATAAATATCTCCCTAAAAATATTCATTTCTTAACCTACTAGGGTCTCTGGGTCATCTTCTCAGATTGAATTTAATCATGAACATTCTTTCTTCCTCTGAGCTGGAGAAAAGGTGCAAATAACAGTTCATTATGCTTTGAGGCAGGGAACGCCACGCTCTTACCGAAGCTCTGCGGCCTTCTGAGCACACTCCAGTGCACTTCTCTGATCACCGTTTTCAACCTTGGACCACATCCTCTGAGGAGATGTGGGTGGTTCTTCCACGTGCATAGCATGGCTGGTCATCATGTGAACACTGGGAAGCACGCACCGACCAATGAGTCTACCCATAATTACGACTTTGCTCAAAGAAATTACATGGTTAGAATTAGGAACACTCAACACCAAAAGGAGAAACCGTTGTTCCAGGGGGTTAAAAAATGGGTTCTCACTGGGACCAGCAGTTAGCATAATGGCTGTGTCGCTGTCGACCGCAGTTTGAGTCACATACGTAAAAAGAAGCTAAAGGAGTAAGTAATCGTGGGGCATGTGTAGGACAGTCTTACAAAATATAGCTTTTAAAAGTCCAAAGGAAATAACGTATAAATGTAAATAACTTCTGGGCTTAAAAATGCAAAGGGAAAAAAAAAATATCTTCAATTGAGGAAAGGACCTTTATTTTCCTTTCCTCAGAGGACAGAGAGATACTTGTTTTCCATTCTCAAGCAAGGAAGTTGGATTCTGACCTCGGGTTGCTTTGCATCTTCTCTGATGATCCTGGAAAGACTAAATCACCAACGTTCATATGTTCCCTAAATGAAGTAGTTCTAATTAAAGCTGCAGGAGTAACAGCATGGGATAAATGAAAAGCACTCACAGTTCACTGGGTTCACCGGATAGTTCATCTCTGGTTTTTTCATTTGTCACATGCTCCTTGAACATGGGAGGGGCCGTGTAGCTCAGCCTGTGTCTTGGCCCTGAAAGTTCAGGCAGAAGCTGCAGATGTTGACAACAACACCCTCCAGAATGCCTGGAAATAGGGAGCTGAGACCTGGGGGAATTCTCACATGACAAGTGGACCCAAAAGAGAGGTCACCTTTATCTTGCATAGAACGGATTGCATACCTCACAGAGATTACAGGCTCTTGAGTGAGTGATTAGAAAGGGATGAAGAAAGAGAGGGACAAGCCTGTTTGTGGCACAGACCGTGTGCCTAGTCAAACACCTCTTTATCCCTGCTACACAATGGGTGGCCAATAATGCTGAATTGCTAAATGGGATTGAAATAGAGACTCAGTATTTCTATTTTTAGCTGTTTCTGCAGAGATTTGGTAGTCTGATATAGGGGCCCATACTAAACAAATAAAGGTGTACTTACTTAAAAAGTAAGATTAGGGGCCGCAGGTGGCATGGTGGTTAAGGGCACTGGATTCCCCCATGAATGACTGCGGTTCGAATCCTGGACCTGGTGGCTTGCGTTCTCACTTTCTCTCTCTCACACTTTGTCCCCCTCTGGTCAAATTAAAATAAATAAAGTTAAATAAAATAATTCTAAAAAAAAAAAGTAAGATTATTTAGGGGCCAGCAGGTGGTGTGGTGGTTGGGGTGCTATATTCCCTCATGGCTGACAGTGGTTCAAGTCCTGGAACTGGCAGCTTGCTTTTTCACTTTCTCTCTCTTGTTCCCTCTCTGGTAAGAGTATATGCCCCATAGCATTGAGAGAGAAAATAAATAAAAAATAAATTCTTTTTAAAAAACTAAGGTAAGAATATTTAAATAAAATGCTGTGGACAGACCCTGTAGTCCAGTGGTTAGAAGAACCAGATCCCATATCGCTGACAGTGGTTCAAATCCTGAACCTCACAGCTTGAAAAAACACTCGGCACATGTGCATGTATGGCCAAAATCCAGACAGGATTGAGAAATGGAGATGAGACTGCAGTGTGAACACATCCAATTCGTTGGTGCTTTCTCCCTCTACCTGCCCTCTCTGGAGAGCACACGCACTGTTTGACAAATAAAAGTAAAGAAACGAATAGAGTAAATCAATAATAAATAGGTGTGTAGATTTTCTCCACCCAGGCTACTCTTCCCTGATTTAGTCCATGGGAATGGGGTGACTTTACTGTAGAGGTTCAGTATTGAGATCAATCTTTCTTCCTTCCTTCCTTTCTTTCTTTTTCTCTTTCTTTCTTTCTTTCTTTCTTTCTTTCTTTCTTTCTTTCTTTCTTTCTTTCTTTC